AGTTTTAAGGAGAAAATACTCAGCAATGGTGTTGATAAATGGATTGGCACATGGTTTGTCTAAAAGCATATTAAAAACAACACAGACAAATAAACAACATAAAAAAACTTGATTTTCACCACAGGGGGACTTTAAGAAATCCCACCATAGAAATATAATGATACCAGAGATGGTCTTATTATTGGGAGATACCAAGCAAGTTTCATGACTTTATCATTGGAGAAAGCGCAAAGGCCAACTTGGATCATGTGTGCCTTAATAACCAATCACATCACAGCCTTTATAGAATTTCTGTATTCTGATTTGCGCGATAGTCAGTCACTGTTTGCGGAGACCATGGAAATGAATGAGAAGTGCTGTTAACTGAATGCTACCTGTTGCAAAATAGTCAGTGACTGCTTTTAGAAAACAGCATTTGGTGTTAACTCCAAAATTAGAGCAATCCAAAATCAATGTTTAATGGCAAACATGTTGAAGATTAGCCAATAGGTTGTCGATTCATTAACCGATAAGCTGTTTTCCTACAAAAGCAGGTTATGTAGCATAGTGAAACCTCTCCAACTTTGACATCCATTAAAAAAGTGCCATCTGGTCCCTTTTCCAGAGTTATGCTCTTTTTTGCTAACCTTTGAGGCTTTCCTTAAAGGTCCCATATTGTCAAAACAGAAATTTCCTGGCTTTTTTTCATGATAACTGAGGCCTAGGTGCTATGTAACACAGGCCAATCAGAAGAGAGGCTCATGAATATTAATTAGACAGGCCAAAATCGACCTGTTCTCAGCAGAGCTCCTGAGAAAGGAGCTGTAAAAATATATTGAGATGGTTTTTGGTACTTATACTGCAAATATATATTCTTAAGGACATCAAAACCTAAGATAAAACTCCAGAAAGGTGTAAAATATGGGACCTTTAAAGCAGCTTTGGTGATACATACCGTCTCTTTTTCTTCATTGCTTCAGCAAGTGGAACAGAAGACTACAGTTCGCCATCTACAGGCTCTGACGTTCATTACCGCTGTGGGCTGTGCCGTGTCCTTAGTTAGCTGTTTGGTTCTCTTCTATTGGCTCTGTAAACGCAGGTAACTGTGACTTCAGTGGCTTGAAATTCAACACCATCACAAAAAATGCTTTCTCAGTGAAAATTCTATTGTGAATCTCATCCTGTTTTTTTTGTCTGTTTGTCTCTGTATTCCAAAAGAGGGAAGAAAACCCAGATCTCACTGGTTCACCGTGGTCTAGTAGTGGCAATATTTCTTCTGTGCTTATTCTTCATTCTTACTGGTACACTGGCCAATGTAGGAAATGAAATTGTTTGTAAGATAACAGGATCCCTTCTGCATTATGCGCTGCTCAGCACCCTCTGCTGGATGGCCATGGAAGTGTTTCACACATTCTTGCTGATCCGCAAGGTGTTCAACTCAACTCTCCCGACATGGATATTTTACTTGGTAGGCTTTGGTAAGTGAAAACATGATTATGTATTTATTTTAATAGTTAAAGTTATAAAAAATAACGTTATAAAACAAGCAGAAGAGTATTTAATGAATATAAACATTATAATTAATAACTTCATGTTTTGATGACAATGTTTTTCTTTCCAATTTCAGGTCTCCCGGTTCTGCTAGTCAGTATACTGCTCTTGATAGAGTGGCTTGGAGTTGACGTGGATATTTATGGCGAAAGGATGATTGTACCAAGTGATGATGTCAACAATCCTTACCGCATGTAAGGAGACATATTTACAGTACTTACTATTAGATAGAACAGTATACAAAAATTTTTTAAAAAACTTTGCCCTGCTTATCCAGGTGCTGGATGTTGGCGAATGACAACAGCCTATTGGCTCATTACATCATAAATGTTGGCTTACTAGCTGTTGTGGTGAGCTCTGGTGCAGTCATGCTTTTCCTTGTGGTGAGGGAGATCCACAACCGGCCTGACTGGAAGAAGATTCATGTGGCTTTTCTCAGTATCTGGGGTCTCACCTGTCTGTTTGGCACGACGTGGGGCCTTGGTTTCCTGGATTTTGGTCCTATGTCAGAGACCATTCTCTTCCTCTTCTGCATTATCAATAGTTTACAAGGTAAGGTTTTTCTTGAATGCACTATCACAAAATACACAAGGTCACATCGAGGCTAGGCTATTGTGTCAACATAAGCGGAGTTCCTGTAGCGCCATATAAAAATAAAACTGCCCTGAAACTTGTTTCCTTTTCTTATCATTACATGTTTGCTTCAGACATCTTAAATTTAACTCATTGGCTTCCATTCTGTTGTATAAAATTGGCATGATATTCCATTTCCTTGTGTTCCCAACAGGATTTTTTCTCATGCTGCGATACTATGCTCTTGAACGGATGAAAAAGAAAGATAGGTCCATTTCAGATGGGAGCAGTTCTGGATCTTCAAAACAGCATATGTTACAGACTCATGAGAAGAGTTAAAACCCTGGTGATGCTCAAACAGTGTCTTTCTGCCAAATTTCACTTCTTTCAGAGATGTTACCATAAAAGATTATTCACAAAGGGCATTTGTAAAGATCCTTTCTCATCCTGCTGGTCAGGGTGTTGAATGTTCCTCAGGTGACATTGCATTGATATTGGGTCACATGCAGAGCTTCGGGTAGATAAGCATAAATGCTTCACCTGTCATAAGCTGTATTTCTGTATTCATATTCTTAGTATGAGTATGATAGTTTGTTTCAGCCTTGCACTTTAGCTTTTTTATTACTGTGTAAAATTGCTGTATTCATTGTGAGATGTGAATAGGAGTTCTAGCAAATCACTTTTAATGATGAATAAAAAATAATTTCATTTTTTGGTTAAAAAGTTCAATTGTGTGAGAAAAGTTGCAAGTTAAAACTGCCACCAAAAAAAAGTGCATTCCTCATGTATTTTTAGGATCAAGGTAAATGAGCTCAGAACTGTTTATTAGTTCTGTCAGAAGCAAGTTGCACTTTTGTTCGTTGTTAGTTTTGTAATGAAATAGAGTAAAGCACAAACTTTGTGTTTTGTTTTAAGTATTTGTGAAATTGTATTTCTGTTGTAATATTATAATATAGAATATATAAAATCAATATTATTGGTGTTTGGTGATTTTTTTTTCATCATTTGGTTTTCCACATTTTTAAGCATGTTAAATTGGACATATTTTATGCAACCAGGCAGAAAGATGGGTAAAACCCCAACATAATACTAATTTAAATAAACGGTATTTATAGCATCATAAAAGTTTAATATAGCACTTTAGCACCAAAAGGGGTTCTGCTTTTTTTTTTAAATAGCCTACATTAAAATTTGATCCATTAAAATGAGAAAATAATTGAATATTATTAGTTACTGTTTAGAAACATCTTTTTGAGCATGCTATTTATTCATAAAAACATTTAATCAAAATAAGAAGACATTTTATTTGTTTGATCCATTAAAAAGAGAAAATAATTGAAGAGAATTAATAGAGACACTGAAAGAGGACATATGTAGAGAAGTAAAGTAAAAACCCAGGCAACATTTTCTATTTAAAACCCAAGGGATGATAGGGTAGAGTGAGGGAAAACGCCTTAAGGGACTGTCATTTATTCTTTCTTTCTGTGAAACAAAAAATATGCGTCCAGAATAGTTGCCATACTTCTAGTAACAATGACATAAATTATAAACCAAGAATGAAAAATGTAATGTTTTTATGTTATTAGATTTTTAACAAAAATTATTATTATTATTTTTAATTTAAGGGGGCGTTTTGCCCCACAGGTTCTGAAAATATAGTTATATTTCTCTTAAATAACACGTAGCCTACTCCCTATCTACAGGCCTCACTATTCTCATATCATATAAATGTGATGTTCTGCAAAATAACAAGCTTTCTTACTGCTGGAAACTACATCACTTACTGTGAAATCCGTTTTCTCTCAGGTACATCACCAATGTAAGCTTCATGGTGAATACTTAATCTCTCATCTCAACGTAGTCCATAAATGTATCGTGACTTTATCTAGTTGTTATTTTGGGAAAAACAGTGGGGGTGGGGGCTTTCCCCCACTCTTCCCTAAACAACAGAAATCATTAATTACCATCAAACAAACTAAACCACTTAGAACTGTAGCCTATAAAACAAGAATATTAACTAATTAGTTGTGAATCAGAATATTAAAAATGATCATTGGGGTGAGAGAGGCGACCGCTGGTGGGAGGTGTTTGGAGCTGCAGTCTCAGGACCACGTCTGGCGGGAACTAGAGGTCTACACGGGTCCAAATATTCGTACCCGAACCCGAAGAGACCCGTAAATGTGCTACACTGAACCGACCCGGACCCGTCTATTATTTTGAAAGTTGGACCCGAGCCCGTGCAGAACCGAGAAATGTCAAAAATGTACTACCCGGAACCGACTGCTCCAACAAGTAAACGTCATATAATATGGTACTTTTGGTATGACATTAAATAGAACATATAATATAAACATAACATATAATAAAATAGAAAAAACATAAACATTCACATTTTACATTTGAAGAAAAATCAGAAAAGAATATACTTTACAATGTTCCAATTTAAAAAAAACAATTATTAGAGCATGTTTTGATCTCTAGCAGGCTGTTCCATCCATATTTGCATTTATCCAAGGCTACATAGCCTATGATTGAAAATGTATTTTCTTGACAAGAATATTAACTAATTAGTTGTGAATCAGAATATTAAAAATGATCATTGGGGTGAGAGAGGCGACCGCTGGTGGGAGGTGTTTGGAGCTGCAGTCTCAGGACCACGTCTGGCGGGAACTAGAGGTCTACACGGGTCCAAATATTCGTACCCGAACCCGAAGAGACCCGTAAATGTGCTACACTGAACCGACCCGGACCCGTCTATTATTTTGAAAGTTGGACCCGAGCCCGTGCAGAACCGAGAAATGTCAAAAATGTACTACCCGGAACCGACTGCTCCAACAAGTAAACGTCATATAATATGGTACTTTTGGTATGACATTAAATAGAACATATAATATAAACATAACCAATACACAATAATGTAACAATTAGGCTATTATACATAAAATACAACATAAATTGCTGAGTCTTTAATCCACCTTACATTGATTGATTGCATTGGAAATGTTCTTATAGCCTAGTCTTGATTTAATGCGGTATTTTTTTTTTTAAATAACTTTAAACAAACAAAAAAAAAATGCTATGATGATCTGCTTGAATGTTCTGTTGTCTTTGTGGTATAGCCTGGGAATGTACCCTGTATCATATTCTGATGTTCTATGGAAAATATTAACATAATGGGTATTGCGTTAAAGTTCCCCTTTGTTCAGCTTGATTTTAATTTAAACTCCTTGTTTACAACTTGTTCACTGTGTTGCAGCTCCTCTGTGGAAAGTTGCATAAAAAGGGTTTTACTGACTCTTGAGTGGAGTACTCACTTACACACAGAGAAGACGAATACTGAGAAGTGTGCAATTGCTAGAATCTAGATGTGTCACATAACTTAATTTTTTGATATATAAAATTAAGTTATTTGTTCAGTTTAATAAGTGCGGGTTGATGGCAAGACTAGGAAACTAGACAAAGGGAACAAGACTAGAAATCTTCCATCAAGTAGCGCGGAAATGTTCAAATTGATTGCATTTGTAATGAATTTCATGCCTTTAATCTTTTTTTTTATTTTTCAGAAGCCATTCAAATCAAATGTATTGCTCAGGTAATGATAAATGTTAATCACTTTTGGATAAAAAATCAATGTATCGACTATAGTTTTATCAGATCGGTTACACTAGCTCAACAACATGAATCATTGTCAGTGTCTGTTTACCTCTGTTATCTATATTTAATTTGGTTTATCGTTAGAAATTCTAAATGCCTCTTTTTACATTTTTGCTCATGTACAATAATGTAGAATAAACAGTTACAGTAATAAGTTAACAGTAAAGTGACAATAGTTTTTTGTTCTGAGATAACAGAGTGTGAAAGTGATAAACCAATAAATGACTCACAAGATTCTAGTTTCTATTGTAAGTTCTGTCAGTATGGACATCCCCTTTTCTGTAAGATAGAAATATCACTTCCCATTCACTTGTCACGTTGAACATGATCAGCAAATGGTGTAAGACTTCATTATAAACTTTAGCCTTGCAAAGAAAACCCCAAGTGTGTGGCAGACACCTCTTTTTGCAATTTCGGCAGACATCTGAGAAAAAGAGGAAATTGCTTTTATTGTTGAGAAAGATGGAGTCACACTGATGAGCTCACACACCCACATCTGTTGAAGCAGCATATGTTTTCCGTTGATACCGTTATAATACCGTTATGACTAGAGGCAATAGACACAAACAATGTATATGCTACTAAAAATGTCAATAAATGTGTGCTGAGTGGTTAATAATTAATAACTGTAGCCTGTGTATTTCCACTCCCCTGCCTTATTGTCTTCCTTTTATAGCTATTTTGTATAGGTAAGCTAGTATGATGTTATTCATCATGAAGTCATTACTTTCAGGAGAAATGAGGTAAGGTAAAAAAAAAAAAAAAGGAAGTGAGGAATTCTCAAAAACAAGTGACAATCTTCATTGTGAAGATGTTAAATGACTCCATAAACCACACCCTTAGATGACCCTGATTTAGTTTTCTTGCCAAAAATATATTTCATTCAGCTTCACTGTTTACAACATATATTTCGCATATATTTGAGATTTATGTTTTTCTTTATGTGCATGGGAGAAAAAAGATTAGCAGTGAGATCAGCAAGCAAGCTATCACTTTTTTGGCATATCACACTGTAATCTGTCTGTAAGTCTTAAACTTAACGTGTTACCCTCTCTCAGGCCCAGGTGAATCAATTATTAGTTAAATTGCAATTGTGTTTCAAGACTACGTGACTTTGTTAAAAATAGCCGGGGATTTCTGTGACCTCAACAGCCAATAGGATGCGACATAAACAAGTGACGTGTCATGAGCACGCGATATGGGGCCGGGACCTTGATTCCTTTCATTTTCAATTCGTGACAGCAAATGAATCTAGTCGAGCAGTCTCTCAGCATCCCAGCGGGGCTGAAATCGACTGGGTCCAGAGGAATGGCTCAGGCCGGTCATCTGCAGATGATTGAAGAGAAAGACTTGCGCGATGTAGTTTTGGTCCGAACGAGTGTAGGTGCGTGTTTGCGAGGACATTTCGGGAGGACAGGACGCAAAGTGGCTGTCAAGTTAATCAAGGATAGGTAAACGGCATTTTCACTCATCATATATGCGACTAATCAGTTTTGCACGTTTATTTGTTGCGCTTTGCATAGTAGATATTCATATATAGGTCTAATACATTGAATATTTACTAAATAATATTGATTAATTAGTACCAGATTACTAATTAATAATTATAAAACGTTAAAAATATGTTAATGTTAATACTAATAAACAATCAAACTAAACTCTATTAAATATTGCAATGTTTTGTGGAGTAAAATCTATGTACAAACATTGTGCAATGTATAGGGTATTTCCACAGCAAACAATGGAAAACAAAATTTGAGTGCTGTGTGTGTGTGTGGTATCAGTAAATGGATTGACAGGTTAAAGAAAGAAGGAATACTGGGTCAGGTGTGTTCTGAGCAAGTTTTAGTCCCATTGGGTGTGTACACAACTCACACTCTGGTTGGGCTGGTGTGGGACTGGATGACTGAAGGATCTCTAGATTCACTACTGCATGAGGTAAGCATAAACTTAGTTAAAAATATACAACTTCAATAAATAAAATGCTTAATTTAAAAAGATGATTTAATGAGTCCAAGACAGATGTGTTAACATACCTGATGAGCCTGTTATCTAAAACAGGAAGTGCATATGTTTGTTTTTAGAAGATGGTGTTGACTTTTCTGACAGTGAGAAACTGGAAATCCCCTAGGCACTTAAAATAGTGCCAACCAATGAATAGCATTCCAATACATGCATTATCATTTAGCTCTTGTGTCATCAGTAATATAACTCCTA